GTGTCCCCGCCGGGTGCGGGTCCCGGCTCCCCCACGCCCTCCCGTGCCCCTGGGAAGGTGGCATTCCCCTCCTGCTGCCCGGCGCCTCCCGCCCCCAAAAGGGGGAAATCCCAAAACACCTCAGACGTGAATCTTCGGTTGAGGACATTTTAAATTCGAGGGGACGTTCAAGCCCAAAGCGCTAGCACTTTGTCCCGTTCCCCCCCTTTTGGGGGGCTGGCGGGACTGCTTCCGCTGTGGCCATTCCGTTGTGTGAGGTTGGCACCAGCCACGGGGGGCACCTCCAGGAGCTCCTTCAGAAGTGACAGTGCAGGGGCACATTTCGGAAGGGCCCACTGCGTGGCCTCCAGCAGCCACCCATGTGGCTCAGGGCAGGGAAAATCGCGTTTGTCTGGGCCGGAAATCAGTTCAGCTGAAAGATTTCTGTTCGGGTTTGTAGGCAGGTGTTCGTTTCGGGGATCCTGTACAGAAAAGGTAGGTTTCGAGGATCCTGTACAGGAAAAGTGGGAGGTCCGGTTTTCACCGACAGAGTGTTCAGGTGCTTTGAGAAATTATCCCGGGTAATGGCCAAGCCAGTCAGTGTTTTCAACCCTAATTGAGAGTTGGCACGAATAATGTCAAACGTTGTGCCCGGCAAGAGGGCAGCTTTCTTGGAACTGCAGCCTGCCTCGCTGTAATTTCCAATGTACAAGGGAGGGTCACATTTACTTCTTTTTTAAACGTTTTATTGTGATTTAAATGATGGCTACCCACTCAACAATTCATACACATTTTGTTCCGATTCATCCATTTCCATCTCTTATCCCACTTCCTCGTAGTGTCTCCTGGTTTCAGTCCTCTTTTTCATTTCCTTGCCTTCTGTCCTTGGGTAAATGCTGCCTTTGTAAAAATGAATGAATTTGCTTTTTTAACACTTCCATTGGCATATGTGATTTGCCTATCATACCTTTCACTAGTTTAGCCCCATCCATAAGTCATTGTGCAACCATTGTCACCATCAACTCCAAGATACATCTTCTTCCTTCTACTCTGTGTTGTTAGCTATCCATGACCCGCCCACCTCCCCTCCCAGGTCCCTTTGAAGCAGGTTTTAATCTTTCTCTAGGTGTACGTGTCCTGGGCTGCATACAGAAAGTCATACAAATTCAAAACAAAACACAAGAAAAAATGAGCCTGACACCAAGGGCTCAGGTAGAAAGCAAATGTTTTGAGGATGATGAGGATGATGTACAAAAGTGCTTGACACAATGGGTGTATGCATAAATTGTGATAAGAGTTGTACGAGCCACCAATAAAATGATTTTTTTTAAAAACCAAAACACAAACGGCCCAACATTGACAGTGAAACAGAAAAACCTCAGTCGAAAACAAGTAGAAAATATTTAAAACTGGGACTATTATTATACATTGGATGGGGGGGCGGGATCAAATGACAAAGTGTCACTTTTGAGGAAACTTCCACTGCTCTAATCCACCCTACAATGTACTCTGATAACAAAAGGCCTTTCCCGGCCCTGGTTCATAAGCAGAGGGGATTCACCAGAGGCTTGCTTCATACCCTGTGAGTAGGTTTGGGGTTTGGGGCTTTCACTGTCACCCGTAGCCATTCAGTGCTGCCCCCTTCTGTTCTGAAATGGCTGAGTATCCGAACATGGCGGTGAGTTACATTCCAGACCTGAAAGGTGACTCAGGACAAGGACCAGAGACTGGGGGGTGCGGTAGGGGAGGCTCTGGTCTTGTCTGTTCCCACCAATAAGCCTGTTCTCTTAAATGATTGTGAGTTCTTGTCCACATTTTTTCTCCCACTCTAAATGTTGATGCTGACTCAGTGGCCCTCTAGGGCAGGATAGACTGTCCCTATGGGTTTCTGAGAATCTCACTGTACAGGAATAGAAAGGAAGCATTCTCTTTCTCCCGAGGAGTGAACGATGGTTTCCAGCGGCTACCCTCCTGGTTAGCAGCCCAACGTGTAACCACTATGCCACCAGGTTCCCACCCTCTGACTACTATGTAGTCTTCTGGTGGCTGATGGCTTCCTGGTCCATTTATCTATTGTACCAGGGGTCTTTCAGTTCTCATCACTCTTCGTTCCTGGGTCGGGAAGCACTTTTTTTATTCTTGAGTTGATTTAATCCAAGTTATTTGTCGTTGACTTGACCCATGTGGATGCAAATTCCTTCAGTAAAGACTATCGTAAGAAAAATTATTTGAACCCAGAACTGAGACTTTGAATGAAATGTCGTATGACCATTAAAATTGAGCGAACTGGCACATTTGAGGCTAGGTAGCTGCCGACAAAGCTATTGCAGGACATCTAGTACGATGATGTCAATAGTTCTGGAGACAGGACTTGAACAGAGTTCTTGCCTGAAAACATGAATGCCTCCAATCCTGATTTCACAACATTTATGTGTGGCCAAGCGTCTCAAAGGTTTTGCTGAACTTTGCAAGTACTCGGTTTTCAAAGTGGTTACCAGCACTTTCAGACAAGCTAATTGACCGACTTAAGAATCGCAGCAAGAGTCATAGCCATGTCCCACAAGATCATTCTCAAGTTCGCCTTTGGCACTAACCTCCTGAACATTATGTAGACATGAAATTATAACCATTACTTTATTCTTGAGAGTTAGAAGGCCCGCACTCTGAAATGGCCTTGGTTAATTGCTAATGACAGTCTGTTCATTTCACATGAACTTAGCTGTAATTATTTCACAAGTGCATTATCCAGCTACAGCTGCGTTTGCCTTGATAAGTGTTTGGACGCTTACTGGTGGAGTTACTGTCGTATTTCGTCCCGCAACTTAAAATGCCCTGGATTTTCTTTTAAAAATTTATTTTTGAGCCTCCTCCGCAAAGTGTAGCTTTCCTAACACAAAAGTTTTTTTACTTGGTTTGCTGTTTGATCATTAGTCTGTCTCAGGTACGGGCTACTTCATTTCATTTGAATCAAAAAGAAGCTTGGCGTTTGTTGAAACCAGTCTTACTTGATAAAAAGAAAAAACTCACAGGAAGGAGACTCAAACAATCACTGTCCCACCCTTTCTGCCATCGAGTCAGTGCTGAATCAGCGATGCTCTGGGATAGAGTAGAAGTTCCCCTGTGGGTTTCCAAGGCTATAAGTCTTGATGGGAGCAGAAAGCTTCATGTTTCTCCTGTGGAGCAATTGGTGGATTTGAACTACCTACCCCTGTAGTTTGCAGCCCAAGAGAGAATCCACTATGCCACCAGGGCTCTTTGGATAAGATCGACTGCAATTTTCCATGTGTTAAAACCGTTAATCGTGATTTTGTTCTTTATTTAAGATCTCGAAAACAAGACATTCTTGGACATAGCACTTTTTATTGACTTATTCTCTTCTTTTTAAAGGTGGGATATGAGCCTCTTCCTCCAACAATAGGCCGAAATATTTTTGGGCGGCAAGTATGTCAGCTTCCTGGTCTCTTTTGTTATGGTAAGTGTCTTTGGTTGATTGGGGAATATAATGACATTGAGGACTGACAGTCAAGGTCCCCCTCCCCCCCTCCAAAAAAAGTCTTAAGATGAATAAAGGTATGTTTCCTAGACATTTGTACTGAATCATTTCTTGTGTTTTCAGCTCAACACATCGCCAGCATCGATGGGAAGCGTGGGCTGTTCACAGGCCTAACCCCCAGACTGTGCTCTGGGGTCCTGGGAACCGTGGTCCACGGTAAAGTGTTGCAGGTGGGTGAGAAGGCAGACTTTGCAGAGATTTGCATAGCCTTTTCCTCATAGTTTGTTCTCCTGCTCAAGAGCAATTCAAAGATATATTTGTAACTACCATAATTCTTCCTTTTGAAAAACATTATCTCGGAAGACCCATTCTAGTTTTTTCCCCCAAAGCAAGGTGCATTCTTGCAGAAGTTAAGTAGTTGGTTTTGAACGTTGTGACCTCCCCTTTGGACCAGCCATTTGAGTAGGAGTTAAATACAGCCACTGTCTAGTCTTCCTACATGCCACTCTCGCTTGACGTCTTTGAACAGCATAGGAAGTTCACTACAACAGATATTTTGTTTCCTCTCCTTTGAAGTTCTTTTCCTTAATAGTTATTTCCAGGGGGAGAGAGTGGGCTGTGGGTGGAGGCCTGGAGTACTAGTTATTTTTTTCTTAACCCAGGTGAGGGCTGGTAGAGAAGTGTTTGCCTTTTCAATATTTATTATATGAATCCTGTACATTCATGTTTTGTATGCTACTCTAGCTGTGTGTTTTTTAAAAGTCCTTAGCAAAGTAGCAACCAGAGGATAGCAGTGGCATTTGGGGTAGGGAGTTCGAGGGAAGCATGAGGGGTGAGACTTCAGCTACGTCAGTGACTCTATTTTAGGAGGGCAAGAGATTGGAAACCAAAAGGATGGGAGTGTTAACATCGGTTTTATGTTGGGGGTACACAGATTGTTTTCTTAGTTTTCCTGCGTGTTTGTGATGTTTTATAAGATTTTTGTTTGTTTATTTCATAAGATTTTACATTTGTTTCTTGATTCTTTTGCCTCAGATGCTAAAGCCTATAATATAATTTTGATTGAACTGGCTCCTCAGTTGTACCTATTACAATGTAGGTCTACTGAATTTAACCCTTTGGGCAATCTTTCTCTTGGGGAAGTGGTTCTCAGACAGAATTACCCTTTGCTATATTATTTATAAAGAGCCCTGGTGGCGGAGTGTTTACGAGCCAGGCTGCTAACGGCAAGATCAGCAGTTTAAAACCAACTGCTCCAGTGGAGCCAGATGGGGCATAGTACGCCCATGGAGTTCCAGTCATAGAAACGCATCAGGGCAGGGGTAGCTATGAGTTAGCATTGACGTGTGTGTGTGTGTGTGTGTGTGTGTGTGTGTGTGTGTGTGTGTGTGTGGTGTTGTGGATAAGGAACCCTGCTGGCTTGGTGATTAAGGCACTAGGCTGTTACCAAAAGTTTGGCCATTCAAACCTGCCAGCTACTTTGAGAGAGAAAGATGTGGCAATCTGCTTCTGAAAAGATCACGGCTCTGAAGCCCCTGTAGGACAGTGACAGTCATACTCTGTCCTTTATGAAGAGGACAGGCTCCCTTATTAAAATGGACTTCATGGCAATGGGCTTGGGATTTTGTATGGATAAGAATTCTGTACCAATTAGCCCGAGGACGCTTGTTCAGCTGGTTGTTGTTGAGAACGTAAGACTAACGGGTGTTCCGGCTGTGGCACCACAGGTCACGTTAGCCTCTGGGCTATAACTCAAAAAATGTACCCATTGTAGAGGAAGAAGGAAACTAGATCCTCTTTTTAATCTCTACCCTATATCAGATGTTGGAGAAAATACCAACTCACTTAAATAGTGCTCTGTAAAATCTCCATTGTACTTTCTTAGACCTTATGATTTTCTTCAATAATGTTTTATCACCTAATAAGCAAATTATTTAGTTAAATATTTTCATCGTCTAATTGGCATTAAGTTTCAAATTCCCATCAGCTTCCATTGATTAAGTCCATTTTAATTCTTCACATAGAAGCACTTTCTTCCCTGGATTGTTGTGTTATTCTTTATACCTGTATGCAGTCCTTCAGCCTTACATACATCCCCATAGGTGGGAACCAACCTTCATCAAGCCTATTGCTTAAAAATTTGAGGCACATGTGATGATTATAATGGATGCTACTTTGCACTGCACATCAGCATATTATTGCTGCATTATCAAGTTCATGATGTTTAGTTTATTTGGAAGCGTTTCTTGGTGTTTTTATGCATAGAAAGATACACTAAGACAAACATTTTGACTAACTCAAACCATACCTTAGCTGTTTTGACTTTTGTACAAATTTATCATAAAGACATAGGAATGAGACTAGTATGAAATCCAAGGACTGCTTGTTTTTCGTATGTACCAAGTGTTTAAAAAGACAAAAAGTAACTGCCCACATGAGAGACCTTCCACATGAGGCCCTAATAGTGCCCATAGGATTCACAGCCATAGAGCTGCTCAAATAGAACATGGACAACCAGGACACGGGTTCTTTTTTTTTAATCATTTTATTGGGGGCTCATATCAGCGCTTCACACAATCCATACATCAATTGTATAAAGCACATTTGTACATTCGTTACCCTCATCATTCTCTAGACACCCGCTCTCCACGTAAGCCCCTCGCATCAGCTCCTCATTTTCCCCCTTCCTTTCCGCTCCCCCCTCCCTCATGAGCCCTTGATAATTTATAAATTATTATTTTGCCATATCTTACACAGTGCGACATCGCCCTTCACCCACTTTTGTTGTCCATCTCCCAGGGAGGAGGTTATATGTAGATCCTTGCAATCGGTTCCCCCTCTCTACCCCACCCTCCTGACATCCCCATTTTCACCATTGGTCCCGAAAGGATCATCTGTCCTGGATTCCCTGTGTTTCCAGTTCCTGTCTCCCAGTGTACACATCCTCCGAGGACATGATTTCTTTACTGCATGGAAGAGGTGTGACTCGTGGTCATGGGACCCTAGTAGCTCCATCTCCTTCGAGAGCACTCCCAGGCCGGAGACTCCCTCCTTGCACTCCAGGGATGCAAACACACTGCCTGTGAGCAGTGCTTTTTACTTGGCTGCTTGTGTCCTGGTGGACTACATCTCAGCTCACGGCCACTGATTCTGCTTCCACTCCCAGGGTCCCTGCAGGACAGAGCAGAACCGCCCCTGTGGGTTTCCAAGACTGTCTTTCTGGGGGGAGGAAAGCCTCCTCTTCCTCCCAAGTAGCTGGTGGCTTCAAATTGCTGACCTTGTGGTTTGCAGCCCCACCCGGAGCTCACTAAGCCACCAGACCTCCTGACTACGTCAGGACACACCTTTCAGGTGTCACTTGAATTGGTGATGGAGCCTTACTGGGCTTTGTGTGTGGGAGTGGGGGAGGAGGAGCTGATAGTGCCTTTTCTTTTTCAGCCACCCCCTCTGGGCTCACAGAGGGAAGGGTGCCCAGTGGGATTTTATGTGTGGGAAGATGGCGGGCTGCCACCTCATCAGAGAACCTCGTGTGTAGAATTCGAGCACAAATGAAACAACAGCTAGAGACCAAGTGCCTTTTCTTCTCCCTTTTTAGAGTAGTGGTCTCACCACCATCTTTGTGTCCTCCACAGTCATCCATGTTAGGGGTGTTTTGCAGTTTCTTGGTTCTTCTTTGATGTCTCCTAGTATTCCACTGTGTGTGCATCCCATAGTTTGTTGATCGTCTTCCATTTGGGAAGTTCAGAGCCCAGGCGTTTCAAGCATAACCAAGTGAAGTACAACAGGTCTGGCACTGCAGATACATCCCTAGCCACTTCTCCAATCCAAAAGGAAGAGCACTCGGCGTGAGGAAACTGCTAACCTTGCCAGGGTTCTGTCTGTCAGAACAAGAAGTCCGTTAACCTTTCAGAGTCCTGCGGAAAGGACAGCAGCTCTTTTTATTGGTGGATTAAAAAGCAGAAGACGTCACGTGGACAAGAATGTTCCGAGAGGCCTAAAACTGCAAAAATGAACTCTAGCCAAGACTCGAGTTTGTCCAAAAGACAGCATCACTCAGCCTGATTCTTTCCATTTGATCTCTGGCCTATGATTTTTTAAAATTATTATTACTATTAATAAGTGTTGTTTAGGTTTTTGCTGTTTTTATTTTTTATAATATGGTATAACTAGGAAGTAATGACACTTGTTATATAAAATGGAGCTCAGTTGTCTTGCTTCTTTTTATTTCACCTAGCTTCTTCCCCCTTTGGTGTCTAAAATACCCCACAAATATTTGTCCTTCCTGTATGGTGCGGGCTTGGGTTGTGTTTATGTTTTCTAAATGGTTTTTTTTTTTCCTCCCTAGCTTATTTTAGAAGGTCAGATGATACAAAAAGAAAGTGAGACCGGTTCAGCTATTCAGACTTAGCACCAATTCTCTGTTCTTCTTTCTGTATAACAAAGACAAGGCTCTTGCCCTCATTTGGTACTGGTCTGGCATTTTCAATGAGAAGAATCGCGCCCTTGTGTTTTTGCCAACTTCTTTTCTATCCAACCTGTATGTTCAGTGTCCAACACTGATTTTCTTTTTTGTTTTCAAGTGCAGTTGCTTGGTCTTCTAACTAAACAACAGTTTATTTAGAGACACTTATTCCCAGTGAGTAATGAGAAGTATAAGGAGTTACTTCAGAAAGTTCCTGGACAAATGCCATTATCTTTCCATTCAGTTTTTCAGTGAAATTTCTAAAGCCCCCC